TACAGTACATCGAAGGAACGTCATAGTACAACAAGGGAACCTCATAGTACAACAAGGGAACGTCATAGTTCAACAAGGGAACGTTACAGTACATCGAAGGAACGTCATAGTACAACAAGGGAACATCATAGTACAACAAGGGAACGTCATAGTACATCGAGGGAACGTCATAGTACAACAAGGGAACGTCATAGTACATCGAGGGAACATCATAGTACAACAAGGGAACGTCATAGTACATCGAGGGAACGTCATAGTACAACAAGGGAACGTCATAGTACAACAAGGGAACGTCAGAGTACAACAACGTCAGAGTACAACGGGGGAACGTTATTGTACAAGAAGGGAACGTCATAGTACAATAAGGGAACGTCAAAGTACAACTGGGGAACGTCATAGTACAACAAGGGAACGTCATAGTACAACGAGGGAACGTTATAATACAACAAGGGTTCGTTATAATACAACGAGGGTTCGTTATAATACAACAAGGGTTCGTTATAGTACACCGAGGGAACGTTATAGTACAACGAGGGAACGTTATAGTACAACAAGGGAACATTATAGTAGAACGGGGGAACGTTATAGTACAACGAGGGAACGTTATAGTACAACAAGGGAACATCATAGTACAACGAGGGAACGTTATAGTACAACGAGGGTTCGTTATAGTACAACGAGGGAACTTTAAAGTACAACGAGGGAACGTAAAAGTACAACCTGGGAACGTTATAGTACAACGAGGGTTCGTTATAGTACAACAAGGGTTCGTTATAGTACAACGAGGGAACGTTATAGTACAACGAGGGAACGTTATAGAACAACGAGGGAACGTTAGAGTACAATGAGAGAACGTTATAGTACAACGAGGGAACGTTATAGAACAATGAGGGAACGTTATGGTACAACGACAAAACGTGATAGTACAATGAGGAAACATTATAGTACAATGAGGGAACGTTATAGTACAATGAGGGAACGTTATATTACAATGAAGGAACGTTATAGTACAATGAAGGAACGTTACAGTACAATGAGGGAACGATATAGTTCGACGAGGGAACGTTATAGTACAATGAAGGAACGTTATAGTACAATGAGGGAACGTTATAGTACAATGAAGGAATGTTATAGTACAATGAGGGAACCATATAGTTCGACGAGGGAACATTATAGTACAACGACGAAACGTGATAGTACAATGAGGAAATGTTATAGTACAATGAGGGAACGTTATAGTACAATGAAGGAACGTTATATTACAATGAAGGAACGTTATAGTACAACGAGGGAACGTTTTAGTACAACGACGAAACGTGATAGTAAAATGAGGAAACGTTATAGTACAATGAGGGAACGTAATAGTACAATGAAGGAACGTTATAGTACAATGAAGGACGTTATAGTACAATGAGGGAACGTTATAGTACAATGAGGGAACGATATAGTTCGACGAGGGAACGTTATAGTACAATGAAGGAACGTTATAGTACAATGAGGGAACGTTATAGTACAATGAAGGAACGTTATAGTACATTGAGGGAACGATATAGTTCGACGACGGAACGTTATATCACAATAAGGGATCGTTATATGAAAAGAAAGAACCTAAGGGGTGGTGTTTAACTTTTTTCCAGGTGTATAGTTTAGCAGTAGTGTATGAAAAGGAACATGTCAAGAAATTTAATGTCATAATAACAATTGTACTCTCGACAGTAAGAACGTCCCTCCATGATGATATTGCAACGATCATCAAGAGACTACACAAACAAAATGACGCATCCGATTAGATATCGCCCACAGAGGAACACCCGCAACTACAGGCAATAGATCAGTACATTCAGGCAATGAATGTCATCTTGATCCAGTGCCCCAAAAAGATATCCTATAGATCTGCATGTCAACGTGGTCGGTGCTCAGTATTCACCCTCATTGTGTTGTAGACATGTTTCCCTAGCGGGCAACAATAGAGTTAGCGGAATATAGAACATCGCTGTTGAGAGTGTCAGGGTAGCTTGTATCGTTATGTACACTGGCTGGTGTATGTGTGCCAAACTCACAAACCATATTTCATTATTGAAATATTCGGCATGGATATAGGTGAAATCATGTTCAGTAATATATAGATTGCAAGTGATTCCGTAGCATTTGATTGGCTAATTTTTTTAGACCACACCCACTAGCGGACTACTGTAACTGTTTCCGGATTGGCTGATAATAGAATGGGAGGGTCTTGTGTTGTTGCATCACTGCTTGATCATGTCACTGATTTCGGATTGCAGTTTTTGTGTTAATGATTAAAAAAAACCAGTTATTAGTATTGACGTATTTAATTATGAGACTTGATTGACTTATATATTCACGAAGAATTATATTTATACTTTATGCTGACTGGCTAGTTAGCGCCAAATGTTCAACTGTTTTTATTGTTTGCGAAGCGGCGCATAGTAATGTCACGTTAAATGAACGCAATTTCCGCAAAGAATAGAATAACACGTCATCCATTGCCCATGACGTCACACATGATTTCAACACTAGACTGTGTGAACTGATGTCTCCACTTGAGAACAAGACAACTTCCTTTTTCTAAATGTTCTCAGTAAAAACACCATGGGTACGACTGCAGGTCTCAAAGTTCTAAGCCAGACCAACTTTCAACTATGGGCCAAAACAAAGTGAACTAGTCAATGTAGTACATTGTTTGAGTAGTTCATTGCAAGTGCATTTGGTCTGTTGAGGCCGTTTGTATACTAGTGACAACCAGTTGAACGTGATAAAGGTCCCAATGGACACAAAAATGGCAAAGAACGAGTACCGAGCAGTCATCAAGTTTTTGACTTTAGAGAACAGTACTCACCAAGAAATTCATGACCTCATGTATCAAATGTATGGGGAAAAGTGCCCTAGCTATTCCACTGTTAAACGTTATGTTTAAGGCTGGAGAACAAGCCTTGACGATGACCCCAGATTTGGACGTCCCTCAACTTCCATCAATGAGGATTCAATCAAGGAGATAGAAATAAATATACTGTCAGATAGAAGTATTACCATTGCTGAACTTGAGGAAGACACAGGAAGCAATGGATCAATTGAAACTCTTTATTCATGAACATTTACAGATTAATAAGATATCTGCTCGTTGGGTGTCATAGTTTCGAAATTCTAATCTTAAGGACACTGCCAGAGAAAATTTAGAGCTGATTGAGGAGGATTTCTTCAAAAAAGACGAAACGTGGGCCTAAAGTTAAAACGAATTAAAACGTCAAACCATGTCAAGGCACCATTCCTCTTCTCCGGGACCAAAGAACTTCAAGTCTTGACGAGAAGAAAGTTATGGCCACTGTAGTCTGGGATGCTTGTGATCCTAGAACGTCAAAAGACGATTACCACTGACTACTATGCTGATTTGCTTCATCGCCTGAGAGATTCTATGAATGAAAAGCGGCGAGGAATGCTGACTGCTGGAGTTGTACTTTTGCATGACAATGCCTCTTCTCACACCTCTTGACTTGCAAAGGCTGCTGTGCGACAATGTGAGTTTGAAGAGCTTCCTCACCCTCCATAATCACCAGAAAGTTGTCTCTTGTATCATTTGTTTGTCAATATATTTTTAAATGTCTAAAAAAACAGGAGCTGAAGGCGATTTAATGTTTAAAACACAAATTTCTAATAAGATATATAATTCAAAAGTAATTACTTCACCCGGATAGAATGCATTACTTGAAATGACTGAAATAAACAATACATTTCTCCAAACATATGCATTCAGAGTTGATTCATCCTCCCGAAGAAAAAGGGTCATCTGGCCTATATCAAAGTCTAGGTGAAAACTTTACAGTGAAATAGGCTAGAGGACACTCTTTCCTAGGGAAGATTGCTATCCTGCTTGATTAGGACCATGACATGGGTTTTTTTCCACTCAAGAGAACACTCTGTAGCGTCATCAAAACATCCTGCCTAAATTGTTACATTGAAAAACATTCGCGGCAATCCAGAAGAACACACAAGTTTTGGTCTTAAAGATTTTGTGTCTATGTCAGAGAGAAATATATTCAAGAGTTTGTGTTGAGCGGTCCGGTATAGTAAGACACATGTGTATCTTGTAGAAGTGTGTGAGAATGGTTTTACGTCAAGGTGGGGACACCAGAAATGGGCTTCATACATTGTACACATGTGGGGAATCGTACCCGTGTCTTCGGCGTGAACGTTTTAACCACTAGGCTAATGCACCGCCCCGTACCCATATGGGGAATAGAATCAGGACTCTCGGCGTAACGAGGGAACGCTTTAACCACTGGACTATATTGCTGCCCTGTCTTGTGGACAATAGAAACAGAGGGACAAGAATCGCGTAGGGTTAACGAATATGAACCAGAAGAGGGTGAGAGCTAAAAATGGGGAGGTTTAGTGTTAATCCCAGTTGCCTATACCAAGGGACGTTCAATATAAACGATCTTAGTGCCCTGTCATAAGCCTGAAGGTGGACTTCAGACAGTTACATCGTTAAGATTGTTTGGTGAAAGTTATCAAAGTTACCGCTTTTAGAAATAGCCCAGCCAGTCCAGCGGGGACACCTAAAAACGGACTACTACACCTCGTGATATCATTATTTTGCATGAATATATAGCACGTGAGTGGTTTAACGTGACATTGAACAGTATTTCAGTTATATAACGGCGTTCACTTATATCACGACACGTTTAGAAAAATAATGAGGATAAACAAGGATTCGAACCTACCATCACTGATTTGGGGCACGCTGAAGGGACGCAACTCAGCACAGCGAATTGCAGTGCCTTAGAAGACTGGGACACCCATGCCCCGAGTTCAAATAAACAATAAACAATGTCATTTTGAACTTTTATTATGTTAGCACTGTCAAAATTCAAATCGTTCCCTTCCGACTTTAGCCAATGAGAGTTAAAGTTAAAATGTTATCAAATAATTATTTTCATTCATACATATACAAATACTGTTTAGTGTGAACGTTATCAACTTACCAAGTCCCGAGTATTTGATTCCAAATTCCTGTCCAAACCAAACCCTGTGGTATTGTATCGCGCAAGTACCTGTAAATGATCGTTGTTCGTGTCAACCGTTAACACACCATATCCTAAAGAAACCAGATACCTGATATCACAATCAATCTGCACCACAACGCCATATTGGATCACATACTCCTTCCAGAATCAGATACCAATCTACGTATATTTTCCACAGTTAGGATGTGAACTGAGACATCGATTTCTTCTGGGATCTAACAGTGCAAAATGACAGCTCCGTTTGTCACGTGCGCCCGCACCCAGTTTAAGCTGTAATAAATTCTATATTCATGCTGACAACGAACGCTACGTCGTTCTCCTTGATGGTTGTGCCGTAAGCTACACAAAACCTTTCAGCGGTAATCTTAACTCGGTAGTAGTCAGAACATACCTCTGGGACCCGACTCTTTCACTATCAGTCAGGTCATACGTTCACTTATACAATAGCATATATCAATGTTTGGAAGGCTGACAGAAATCTTATCTATAGTAACTCCGTACTGGGTAGGGTTGGTAGGGTTGGTATTGCCTACGGTGGGTGCAATATCATTTAGCCTTGGTATGGTATGGTTCCTCGTCGGTATTGTTAACGTGTATGGCATTCAGGAAATATTCAGTGCCTATCAGACGACAGCGACAGTCACACTGTGATTTATATGTTTAATATCATCTGGATGCTGTTATCTTCTTGGCGACATGGATCTTTTGATGGTATATAGTAAAGCTGTATTCCAAACACTACTTCAATATTCGCTCTGTGAAGCTAATGTGGTTTAATGCTAGAGGTGAACCAAGATATGTCATAAAAAGAGACTAAATCTTGATGAAGCAATATTACTTCACAACATAAGTGTGTGTATCGTTGCATGTCTTTTTTCGTGTATGTTTTGAGAAATGTCTAAAGTAACGAAACAAACGTATAGATGTGTTTGAACTGAACGGAGCATTCCACATCTTAATGAAAGGTGTTCCAGGACAGATCTTAAAAGAAATGTGTTCCGGAACAGATCTTAATGAAACGTGTTCCTTAACATATCTTAATTAAAGGTGCTCATGAATAGATCTCAACGAATGGCATTCCAGCACACATCTTAATGAAATGTGTCCTTGAACAGGTTCTAATGACAGGGGTTTCAGTACACATCTTAATATAATGTGTACCTGATCAGATCTTAATGAAAGGTGTTCCAGCACATATCTTAATGAAATGTGTTCCTGAACAGATCTTAATTAAAAGGTCTACCAAACATACATCTTGAGGATTGATGCACCAAAAACATCTCAACGACAAGAGCATTTCCCCAGTTTATAACTGAATATTTTATCAATACAATATTACTATCAATTAGACTCTACTTGATAGATACGCCAACCGTTTTAACTCACATATATCACAAAATCCAAACTTTGACCCGGTGGGAAGTGTACCATAACATGAACACATTCAATGATATTAAATTGATGCACCCGTTGTCAGGAACGATGCTCATGATATCAACCACTGGCCTGTTAAGTCCAGATTCGATTATTTACAGACATCAGTCATATGGCTGGAATACTGCTCAGTGCGGCGTAAAATAACAACCAACAAAACAAACAAACAATGGATGCATCGATATGTATTATGCCTTTCATGGCTCCAACGGTCGCACGTGCGGTTAGTCAACAATATCTACTACAGTTCATGGCCGTCTCTATTGAACAACGGATACCCTGTTGGTGTCGGGGTAATAAGTTTGATCACAGATCAGGTGGTACATTTACACAGCTATCGCGTAATCACAATTTCTTCCCACAAACGAACTGTTGTTTCATTTGTATGGCAGACGATAAGCAGGGGTTTCGGAAAATCACGTGATACGCTCTTGCACGAGAGGGACTGCACGCACCAATCAGGAGCCAGGGGAGGAGGTTGCATGTTGAATGTTATTGGCAGTGCCAACACGTTGTGTTAGCTACAGCCGTACTGTTGAAGGTTAGATATTAGTTCCTTATCGGCAATTTGTCTGAGTCACAAGTTCAAGGTTTATGTTATATCATACCATTGGAAGAAAACAAAATTAACATATAACTACATGTCAAGCGGGTGCACATGGTCTTGAAATAATTTCAGGGTAATGACGAACCGCTCTTTTACGTTTCCAAAGACCTTGTTGAGTCCATTCTCAATAATCAGTCTATCATATTAACAGGGAGGCGGGGTAGCCTAGTGGTTAAAGCATAGCTCGTCAAGCCGAAGCCCCGCTTTCTATTCCCCACGTGGGTACAATATGTGACGCCCATGTGTAGTGTCCCTAGCCGTGGTCTAGCTGGACTAGTGCTAAAAGCTGTGTAAACCAAAGTCACACACTTTTGACTACTGTGGTGAGATGGGAACTTGGAATATACTGTTTAGGTTGGCTGTACAGGAGAACAATGAGCTGGTGGGTGAGTGAGAGGGTGAATGTTGTTTTATGCCGCTGTCAGCAATACCTAGCTACATCGTGACTGTCTGTAAAATTCTGAAGCAGGAACACGAGTGGTTGCTAGCATGAAATGTCACGATAACAACTCATCATCAAGATGGCAGCTCGGCCCAAATGTTTGGTGACTTATACGACAAATATAGTTGAAGGTAATCTAGCCTGCCCTGATATTCCCACAGAGATATGGTCATTGGAAATCTGTCAAAGGAACTACTAATGTACCATTATCTGTTGCATAGAAATCAGCGAGTATATTGAAACCAAAAATTTATCTAAACTTTTAATGTGAGGTGATGTGAAATGGGGTTTAACGCCGCGTCCAAGATTATTGCACTTATATAGCGACATACATGAACGGATGTGCGTGCGTGCGTGCGTGCGTGCGTGCGTGTGTGTGTGTGTGGCTGCTTGTACTAATCCGGACTGATGCCGATTTTATAATACTAGCCCACTAAGATACCATGCTGCAGTTTAACATGAATACCCCACTCAGACACAGTATACTGACTCCGAGCCGACCAAAGTTGAGTGTTGCCCTTAATGTTGGGTGCCGGACACGGTAACAGCAAGTACCATCTTTTAACGTATTTTGGTAGACAATGGAGGCGGTCGGTAAAATTTCAGGAACAGAAAGAAACAAGAACAATTTAATTGATCGCGGTAAAGCCAGAGTTTTTGCTCGTAAGTGTTTTGGAAGTGTGTGGTCAGAAGTAAAAAAGCCCTGTTGTTGGGTCCACGTGGCTCAGGCTCATTGACCAGCATTCCAATAGAATTATGTATATATACATATCGTTTGTAAATTGTCTTAAATCAGTCTCCTATATCTATCGGCAAGATTCTTTACAAAACTATGGAGATAAAAATTCAAGTCAAACAGCTTAATCATATTTACCTTCCTTCATTGCAAATGTACTTTCCCCAGAGAACATAATGCTTAGCTTATAATAGTGAAATGAGGCGAGTGGTGTATAACATCGATACCTAACAGTATCTATTTGAGGGATAGGTTTCATGTATAGTCGTGGTCGCCTGGAGCAGGTATCGACAACACTACTTTACTGTGACGATGAAGTGGATTAATGAATTATTAACGACCAATGACATGATTTCCTTTCTGTGGTGCACGAGAGTGAAATCAGCTTCGTGATTAACGACATGAAACTGGGGGACGTCATTTACATTGATCGCGACACCGCTTTTGTAGCAAGTGAATTCAAAGGCCCTACACTATTTGTGAACAGAGCAATGTATGCGAGGATGGCGCTTGTGCGTGTAACACGCGCGGCTGTTTGCTCTCTTTCACCATCACAATGACGGCATACTGTACTCCTTTAAGTACAAACTGTACTTTTAAAAGGCAGAGTCCGACCATTCAATGACCTCGAGATAAAAACAAAAGTCTTATTGATTTGTTATTACGTTACGAGGGAGCGAATTGAGTTGAAGTATTTTTCAGTTGCATCGTGACACGTCTGTTTGGTGTGGGAGAAATCCCAGAGAGAGTGAGTCTGTTGGGATTGAATACCTTGTTCCGTAGTTTATCACGGTGTATGAGCTTTGATTGTGGGGAACACTTAAAGTGTCGTAAATGTTTTCCTGTTTGACGAAATCCACAAGCATGGTGCTGACAAACCAAGGTTGATAATCGTGCGAATCCGGGATTCGAACCCACTACCAGCGGATCTTTGCACCAAGGGGACACAACTCTGAATACATAAGTCACCGCGACCTGAATACGTTTGCAGTCTATATGTGTGTCTTATGTATATCTGAAACCTAATCCTGTTGGCATTTGTATAATTAATTCATTATTTTAATTTTATTGCTAGGTAGACAATAATTCTAACAGGGCTAACACGTTACACAATATTCACGAATTTGTAATTATCGTGTAAAAAACCAATGATAATAACAGGAAAGGATACGCATGGGGTTATGGTTATTACATATCTAAATACTAGTATATAAGATGGTGAAAATATGAATTGGTGTGTTCACAGTTGCCCACGCCATGCCAAATCCTACACATCCCACACAAATAATATTCTCCAAGTCGTATAAGAATAGTGTGATTCTTCGAAAGATTAATACTGTGCAACGCGACTCAGCAATATTCCAGCCATATGACGACTCAGCAATTTTCCAGCCATATAACGACTCAGCAATATTCCAGCTATATGACGACTCAGCAATATTCCAGCTATATGGCGACTCAGCAACATTCCAGATATATGACGACCCAGCAATATACCAGCCATATGACGACTCAGCAATATTTCAGCTATATGACGACTCAGCAATATTCCAGCCATATGACGACTCAGCAATATTCCAGCTTTATGACGACTCAGCAATATTCCAGCCATATGACGACTCAGCAATATTCCAGCTATATGACGACTCAGCAATACTTCAGCTATATGACGACTCAACAATATTCCAGCTATATGACGACTCAGCAACATTCCAGCCATATGACGACTCAGCAATACTTCAGCTATATGACGACTCAGCAATATTCCAGCCATATGACGACGGCTGCGAAGTCAGTGTGTTTGTGTCATTAGCAACCCTTGCTATAGCAGAACGCCAGCAGCGAGCAAATATAAGTAAATGTGATCGCTCAAAAGTGATTTTTTCCTGATTGCTGTCCCCTGTCGCACCGGGGATAATTTTACGGACCAGAATCTTCGTTTTACTTTCATTGTATTTGTCTTCTTCAATAGAGATTATTGATTATTTATGTATTCACTCACGTACTTTCCTGCT